TTTCATGTCTCGAATAATTAAATTATTCCTGTTCACACGCAAAATAAGCGCTTAGACGTGGAGTTACAGAAAACAGCTCGTCGTAAACTGAACTACCTAAAGTCAAGAAAAGCTACCTACCTTAGCTATTTTGTGCATAGAGTCAGAACTCAAAATTAATGAACAAGATTTCATCCGACGCTTGATGATTATTTTGCGAATAGAAAATTACCCAAAAAGGAATTTTAAAACTTTCTACTTGTAATTGAATAGATTATTTTTAAACTGTGTAAACGCAATAAAAATTATTTAATAACGTTTAACGTTTAAGTAGAATTAAGGCATACTTTACCCAGCGTAATTAGAAGTATGTGATTGAGGTTTTACTAGCTCAGAAATATAGCCAGTTATTTCTTATGCAATCTTAACTAAATCGTTGAGTTGTAAAGATACTCTGGGAACTGACACATCGATTTACTATTTCACAATATTTATATTAATGTCGAGAAATGGGTATAGTTAGAACGATAATGCACAAATCATGAAGTTACAATTTCATTGACAAAAAATTGTATTTAATATGATTGTGAACTAGGGCATCGAATTGGAGAAGATCGGTAGGGGCGGCAAAATTAGAATAGCCTACTGGCGCCAAATGTGTAAATCCGCCACTGTACCTAATACAGCTTTAGAGAAAGTAGAATTATGCTTTACTACCTAGAAATATGAAGATTTATCTTAAACGCCTTCTATCTGGAAACTAAATTGAACTTTACCACTAGTAACATCAGCAAACAGATAATCGAATAAATACAACCCAACCAAAATTATTAGTCTTTCTCACTTATACAATTTCCGAAAAGGACGAATCCAGACACATAGACACGAGCGCTAAACAGAGACAGAGCTATGAGAAATGTTCTTTGATTACCTTCATCGCGAGTTTCTCTTGTACCTGTGTGTCTTGTGCCTCTCACTCCTGTGCTTACCTAACCATAATAAATTAAATGTAGTGTTATGTAATGTTATTTATTTATTGTTTATTGCATTCCTAATATACAAAGGGCGGACTTGTAACATTTGGAAATAAAATAATATAATTTGCGTCACAAAATAGAAACTGTACGGATAGAGGCAAGAAGCTAATCTACAAGACTGCATGCAGCCGTATCGAGTGAGCCAATCAGCCAACATTGGCGGGTCCCAGCGCAGGATGGTGTTGGGGCTGTCGCATACGCGCCGAAGTAGCGTGGCGCAGCAATAAGCCCGTGTGAGCATCCGCAAACATGGCGGAGGCGCTGCAATATATAAAAATTGAGCACCCTGAACGCGTTATTATGTTGTATACGCAGGTCACTGTATGTCCTCTGCGTATTATAGTTCACCCACAGACTGCACGTGTAAAAGGAATGGCAATAAGCTTTAAAAAGCGTAACCTTAACTTAACTAGAACATCGTGAAGTCTGCGGGCAAACATGTTGCAGCGTACAGACAGTGTCGCTCTCTCTTTTTGTATATACAAATAGTTTTTTTTGATCCTCTGTGTCTTAGTGGGCCAAATACTTAAAACGCTCCACCTTCTTTAAAGGAGTACCACCTAGCCTAAATATCATAAATTCACTTTTTATGGCGTTGTATTTAAGCCCCAATAAAAAAAACTGCGGTTGCCAACCCACTCGCCAAGCGTGGCAACTATGGCATACCCCCAATGAAAAAAGTTACGAAACGACGGCCCCGCTATTCCTGGCTACGGTGGCAACCATGGTAACGGCGGGGCAGGGGGTGCTAACAATCTCCGGTGGAGGTTCGGTTGCCACCTACGACGACCCGACCTGGCAACTTATAACGCACGCACCCTGAGGACTGACGAGAAGATCCTGGAGCTGGAAGAAGAGATAGACAAGTTGCGTTGGAATATTATAGGATTATCCGAAGTCCGAAGAGAGGGGGAGGACACGGTAATCCTCGAATCCGGCAACTTGTTCTATCACCGGGAGGGCCATCTGTCCCAAGGAGGTGTCGGATTTATCGTACACAAGTCTCTCGTTAACAATATTGTAACAAAGTCCCGAAACCTTTCAGTTCGAGTTACAAAACCGTTTTCAGTGCCTGGAAGACTGCAATGAAGTGGATGATATAAATGATAAGCTGGTGGAAACTGTCCATGCGGTCGGAGCTAAGTTCTGCAAGACGCGCCGCAGAAGAACACAAAAACTCTCCGATCACACTCTTAATCTTATGGCTGTTAGACGGGAAATGAAGCTGCAGTCTTCAAAAGATTTGACAGCATACAGGCAACTGAACAGACAGATCTCCAAATGCATGCGGCAGGACTTACGCAACTGCAATACAGCTTGTATTGAAGAAGCGATCGAGAGGAACCAAGGCTCCAAAGTCGTTGCCAGAGATCTGTCTGAAAGAAAAAGCCAACTGTCAAAGCTGAAGACCGAGTGTGGCAGCATCGTTTCCGAGACACCTGGGATTTTGAGTGATATTGAATGGTTCTATGGGCAGCTGTACACGTCGTAGTTGGAACCACACGCAAGTGTGAGTAACGATCCAAGAGCGGAGGCGTGGAGCAGAAGTGCGGTGGTCTTGTTCTTCAAAAAAGGCGATAACACTTTCTTGAAGAACTAGAGACCGATTTCCCTTCTGAGCCGCGTCTACGTGCTGTTTTCGAGAGTCATTACGAATCGTCTTGCACGCAGACTTGACGACTTCCAGTCTCCCGAACAAGCCGATTTCCGAAAAGGCTTTAGTACCATAGACCACACTCTTCGGCAAATTTTACAGAAGACAGAAGAGTACAATCTGCCACTTTGCCTTGCGTATGTGAACTATGAGAAAGCCTTTGATTCCGTCGAAATTTGGGCGGTGCTACAGTTCCAGACTATCGGTATATCGAAGTGCTGAAGTGTTTGTATAGTAGGGCTACGATGGCTATCCGAGTACAGAACCAGAGTACGAAACCTATCCAACTGCAGAGAGGTGTAAGACAGGGCGACGTTATATCCTCTTCACCGCTGCATTGGAAGACGTTTTCAAGCTACTGGACTGGAAAGGATACGGTATTAACATCAATGGCGAGTATATCACTCACTTTCGATTTGCCGACGATATAGTTCTTATGGCCGAATCGCTGGAGGACCTAAGCACTATGCTCAATGACCTCAATAGTGTCTCCCAACGGATAGGTCTTAAGATGAACATGGTCAAAACAAAGATCATGTTTAATGTCCATGTCACACCTATGCCGGTAGTTGTTGGCAGCACTAAGCTCGAAGTTGTTGACGAGTATGTATGTTTACCTGGGACAAATAGTCCGACTAGGTAAGTCCAACTTCAATCGACGGATTCAACTCTGTTAGGCAGCGTTCGGGAAATTACGGCATATCTTCTCGTCAGGTATACCTCAAAACTTGAAAACGAGACTATACAACCAGTGTGTGTTGCCAGTGATGACCTATGGAACTTAGACGTGGTCCTTCACTGCTGGCCGGATGAGGAAGCACAAGTTCGCTCAGCGAGCTATGGAGAGGGCTATGCTCGGAGTTTCGCTGCGTGATAAACTTAGAAATGATGATATCCAAAGTAGAACCTGAGTAACCGACATAGCCCAACCGATTAGTAAGCTGAAGTGGCAATGGGCCGGCCATATAGCTGGAAGAACAGACAACCGATGGGGAAAAAAGGTTCTCGAGTGGCGGCCTCGTACCGGCGGACGAAGTGTAGGGCGTCCTCCCACTAGATGGAGTGACCACCTGGTAAGACAAGCAGGAATTCGATGGATGCAGATGGCTCAGTACCGTGTTTTGTGGCATTCTTTGGGGGAGGCCTATGTTCAGCCGTGGACTTGTGAAGGGCTGTAATGATGATGATGATTTAAGCTCCTGGGCCGCGATATACTGGTGTACACTGGTGTCTTTCTTGCATTATAGTAATGGATAGTCTGCTTGAGGTACAAAATAGCACTAACAGTAGAAAGACCAGGTCTGAAGTTGAACTGTACGACATTGAGCAAGATATTCTTATAGGCTTATAATGAGACACAACTCACGAGTCACCAGTTTTGCTTTTTATAATAGGTACTACTATAAGTATGCATTAGGCTTTCAGGTAGATAAGTATGTCTTATACATAAATTAAAAACTGAGGTAATATTCTTGGCAAGTGTACTTCTACATGCTGTGGCTGTTGGCTGTCATGTCCAGGAGATTTGGCCATGGTTGGGACATTTCTCCTGGACATAACAAACTACACAAGGCCTTTAATTTTGTGTTATAGCCGCTAAAGTATAACTTCGCATCTAGGCCTTGTAGGTAATTCTCTAAAAATCAAATTGCTAGTCAGTCATCAAATAACTGAATTTTAAAAAGTAATTGCAAATGGTCAGCACTTTAAGCTTAACTGAATAGAAATGCTATTTATTGTAATGTGCCTGCCAGGTGCGAGTTGTTCATATACATTTAAATGAAAATGTATAGCTGCACAACACCCCTCACACACTTAATTCTGTCAAGTTAGACAGCAATATTTCAGGAGAATTTTGACTCTAAGTGGAATTAGGTAAAAATGTTAACACAATGAAAAAATCATCATTCAAAAATATTACTTTCTTCATCATGTAAGAGATAATCATCAGATAATAACATAATTTTCAGAAATAGATGCAGTTTAAATTAGATGGGTATTGTTGTATCTTACAAATGTCCAGGAATTGTCATCCTCGCTTTTAACATAATGCCTAGTGGTAGAATATAAAGTTATGATGAGTTTTTGTTTTAATTGGTTGTATACTTGAGTAAAATTTTTAAGTATAATAACATGGAAGATGCACAAAATTTCACTAGAAGTAGCAAGATTTTTTAAATTGTTTTACTAATGTAGTAATATCAGTTGCAGTTCAATAAACACCTGCCTAGAGTGATGACATAAAAAGGTTGTTGATGCTCTGTGATATAATTTAGAAACAAGACATTATTATTAGAAGCTTACTTAAATTTATTTTATTTATTATTTATCTATTTATTGCTGGTTGGTTGTCCCTGTGTAGTTTCATAAGCTCTTTCCAATGTGTCTGTTATGATTTTCATATCATTTTCAATACTGCGTGCCCAGTTCTCTACATCACCTATTTCTTTAAGAGCACTACTGAAATTTTCCACTAATGCAAGCCACTGTTGTGTTTGTTTAGCAAAATTTATTGCACCTTGGTGCAACAGCTTAGCTTCTGCATCCAATTTCTTTTGATTTAAATATGCCTGTGCAACACTGGAACAGAATATTAGGTTGTAATATGGTAAATATAAATTAACAAATAATAAATAAGCTATTCAAAGTTCAATCTATGTTACCATGTTAATCAATAGAAGTTGTCTCATGGTATATCGTAAGGTGAAGTATCAATTCACCACTTTGTTTTTGATTCATTAAACAACTTCAATTTAATCATGGTTTTATGGTATTGGCAAGAACATAATAATTATAAGTAATATACATAAGTAATATTTGGAATTTCAAAAAGGATAGCATACATACCCAACATTAAGATGATCTACAAGTGCTTGGGTAAGTTCATTAGCTGCTGCAATACATTCCTTACGCTTTTGTTCTGAAAAAAAAAAATGTTTAAATACAATATTGGGACCTTTTTTTCATTAAAATTTTTCAAAATAATTTACTTACCTTGTGTAACTCTTTTAGCAGCTTGCTTAGCTTGATGCTCTTTTACAAGAGACGATAACATTTTTGTATTAAAACCACTAACTGTTCTTTTAAGAATAATAAAGTAATAAATATTTTTAGGTTTTGTTGTAAAATTAAATATTTTGATGTTTTGCTTTTTTATAATGTTGTTTTATAATTACATAATAATATGTAGTTTATTATTTTTATAAATAAACACAGCACAGGTCTTTTATCACAACAATAGCTCTCTGACTAATATACAGTTATTTATCTGTGACAATAACCAAAACATAACAATAGACTAATATATAATATATCTTCTTTTCTTAATAACTGGCTTTACGGCTCTGGGATCTAGCCCTTCTGAGCCTGAAGTTACAATATTATATTATATTAATAATTACATATTCTTCATAGTATACTGCTTCACAATATGTTGATGAAACTTTTTTTTCGAGTAGGTATCGATACTTTCAAAATTTTCGAAACCCTACACTAATTGAAACACAAAGACATTTAAGTAGTATATATTTTAATCTCTTTGTTGAGACGTGAAGTGATTGACGTTTGACATCAATTATATGTCAAATTTATTGTTGTTGTTGTTTTTATTATACGCTCGCGAGAGCAGGCAAAGGAACTATGCAATACAGCCTTGTCTTTTTGAATATTCCTTCATAGTTCACTGCTTCACAATATGTTGATGCGTCACATTATGCAGCCATTGGGAGATTTTGATGGCAACTTGAGCCAACAGACAGCTGACAGTTGGCGATGGTATCTAAAGGCGCTTTTGCAGACAAACAGCTTATCTTGAGAATCCATCACCATCAGAGCACTTGTTTCACAGTTTCCACTAATAGTTCACATGCGCAGACACTTAATACACAAAATCGCATCACTTTTACATATCAAAGTCCACTTCAAACCATTATTTAAACAATAAAACAGGAACAGCAAACCGCCGCCGGTCAAGTTCCCGTCAAAACTCCCTAATATATAATACTGGAACATAACATCAAAGAAAATATAATCACTACGTTTCAGAGGTGGGAGTTATAATCTTTCCAATATGGACCATCGATTTAAATGCCCATATTTGCCTTTATTTTTTGTAGATAGTACTCACTAAGGGTAAGGTTTAGAATCAAGTAGCCTGAATTTGGGGGAAGGGGGTGGCGGGGCGAGAGGGATGGGAGTCGTAGAGTCACCCCCCACTTCCATTTCCTGCCGGACGTGCTTAGTTTTTTTTTATAAATTTTTAATAATTTTTTTAAAAGAGGTTATGTTTTCGTAATGTTTTTGACAATATAAACCTGATTTGTGGGGGCAGAGAGTTGGGGGAGGGTAGCCCAAAGCCCCCTCCGAACGGATTCCCGCCTTGTCGTGGCGGGGGGGCTTAGTAGCCGTGGCTTGGTCACCCGCGGTGAACAAAGAGGAACCCCTTGGCTGGCCCGTGGTGTAGGGTCGTTGATGCGGTGGTGGTGAGGCCGCGGGGGGAGAGGAGTGTCGGTATTGCGAGGCGCCGCTCTCCCTACCCTCCGCGGCCGAAACTTGGTTGGCGGTGGAGCCAGACACCAGATCCGCCGCTGTGGTCGGGATAGCGGGCGCTGCGAAGTGCTCGATTTTCCTGGTCCCATGGCCTCCGCGTATCGGACTTGGGGGGCCCGATACGCAGGTGGAGTTGGAGGCCGTGGAGGGGGGTAGTTGAACACCTTACTACCCCGTGCAGGAGACGAGGACCGGATAGACCGGGCCAGCACTAGTGTGGGGCTGCGGAAGAATTTGGATTCCCGCGGCCCCGCGTGCACGTGCGAGTTGGCACCGGGGTGGTTTTAGCCGGTAAGAGTCCGGCACGCCTCTCCGCTTATCCCCAGGCGGAGGTAGTCCATCCGTAATTTCCACCGTAAAAAAAAAGGGTTGCCCAACGCCACTCAACGTGGCGCAGTCGAGGGAAGCTCAGTCGACGGAGCACCGCTTTGCGAGGCTCCTATTTCTGGATGGATTATAAAATAATAACCACAAATGGGATGGAGGGGTCTGTTCGCTCGCTCACTTGACCCCGCCGTCCCCTTCTAACCTAACCTGTCCGAGTCGGGGTGCCCCAAGTCCCGAGCTCGCTTCGCTAGCGTCGCTCGCTTCGCTCGCTCTTGCACCAAATAAAACACCAAAATGTTAACTTCCACCATTTCCAAAAACGTCGTAAAATAGCAAGCAATCGGTCTCCAGAGGGGTAGCGAAGTCGTCCAAAAACAGGAGGCAGATAATAACAATAAGGAGCACATTCACGTAAACTCAGAAGCAACGGAATGACGTTTATGACGCGAGTCGCGAAGTAGAGTATATACGTAGTGATTATATACTCTTTGGACGAGTATATCTGTTACTGATTACTAGGGAGTTTTGGCGGGAACTTGTCCGGCGGCGGTTTGCTGCTCCTGTATTATTGTTTAAATAATAGTTTGAAGTGGACTTTGATATGTAAAAGTGGTGCCATTTTGTGTATTAAGTGTCTGCGCATTTGAACTATTAGTGGAAACTGTGAAACAAGTGCTCTGATGGTGATGTGATTCACAAAATAAGGTGTCTGCCTGCTTAGGTGCCTTGAGATACCATCGCCAACCGTCAGCTGTCTGCTGGCTCAAGTTGCCGTCAAAATCTCCTTAGGGCTGCACAATGTGACGCCTCAACATATTGTGAAGCAGTATACTATGAAGGATAATTATTATAATATACTAGCTGTTCCCCGCGACTTCGCCCGCGTGTTATTTGGAGTTTTAAGTTTTTTGCACGAAACCCTCATTCTTATTCTAAAATAGAAGTAGCCTAAGTTACTCCTTGTGACATCAGCTATCTGCCAGTGAAAATTCCATCAAAATTGGTCCAGCCGTTTCGGAGAATACCCGGAACAAACAGACAGACAGACGGACAGACAGACAGACAGACAAAAACTTTAAAAATTGTATTTTTGTTATTAGTACCGTGTATACTTTCATATGCATTTAGTAAAAAGCTGTAATTTTGACATTACAAACAGACACTTCAATTTTATTTATTTGTATAGAGTATAGATTGTAACTAGTCAGTTATTAAGAAGAAGTTACTGATTACTGTCAATTTCAAAAGTTCCGTTTCAGGTATTAATTAGTGATTTATGAATATTTTTAGAAAATTATATTAAACATTTCGACGCAGCTCCGGCAGCTAAAATTGCATGGGGGCGCTTGAGATAAGCTCCCTTGATACCCCACAGTGACAGACTCCTCAAATTCAGGCGACTTGAGGCGACTTAGATTGCGGAAACTTACGGTCCATGAGATACATTTTTTTACTTTTCATACAAATTGCCAAATAACACGCAATTACAAAATAAATTTGACAAGGAGTTTTGGCGGGAACTTGACCGGCGGCGGTTTGCTGCTTCTGTATTATAGTTTAAATAATAGTTTGAAGTGGAATTTGATATGTAAAAGTGGTGCGATTTTATGTATTAACTGTCTACGCATGTGAACTATTAGTGGAAACGGTGAAACAAGTGCTCTGATGGTGATGGATTCTCAAGATAAGCTGTTTGTCTGCAAAAGCGCCTTTAGATACCATCGCCAACTGTCAGCTGTCTGTTGGCTCAAGTTGCCATCAAAATCTCCCAATGGCTGCATAATGTGACGCATCAACATATTGTGAAGCAGTGAACTATGAAGGAATATTCAAAAAAGACAAGGCTGTATTGCTTAGTTCCTTTGCCTGCTCTCGCGAGCGTATAATAAAAACAACAACAACAATAAATTTGACAAATAATTGATGTCAAACGTCAATCACTTCACGTCTCAACAAAGAGATTAAAATATATACTACTTAAATGTCTTTGTGTTTCAATTAGTGTAGGGTTTCGAAAATTTTGAAAGTATCGATACCTACTGAAAAAAAAGTTTACTCTATTTTAGTTCCATCTTAGTACTTGTATTTCATTGTTTGTATTTTCTCATTAGTACAGCTTTTGTAGGTATTTGATTGTTTGCAACTTTCTATATTATCTAATTATTACTACAATAAAATGTTTACTTACTTATTAATATCCAAAAAGTACCCAAAACCGAATCAGAGCACCACACTATCCACTTGATCTTGTCTGCCCTACCCCTAGAATGTATATAAAAGAGTTCGGAGGCGCGGATGGAGAGCAGTGCCCGCCCACCGTAGGTGCCCGCCTAGGGCGGAGGGACTGCTCATCCCGCGGCGCCGGAGCTGCCACGGAGCACCGGAGCACGACTTCCCCGCTTCTAACCCCCCCTCACTTCCCCGCTACTAACCCCCCCTCCTCCCACAAGCCCCACCCTTTTCTTCATCTAATCTAGTTCATTTTACACATCCTACCCCATATCTCCCCCCCCCCCCCTCCATTTCATCAGACATATGGAAACGAGTAAAGTAAAACGAGATAATGGTAAGGAGAGAAAATATCAGATCAAAATCGTTAATTCATCATATTAACTAAATAGCGCTGTTCTAACCTTAAAACTTTAATCATGAATATGTCCATAATCATAGGGTTCCGCAGGGTTGGGATGGCACAGGTGGGGTAGCCCTCCCCTCTCCGCCCCCTCCCACCCCTAAAACCTCATATATCGATGGTTCATATTGGAAAGTTTAACCCCAAGCTACTCTACCAACATCAAGATATGACATTTAGTTTTTGACAAACAGTGCTGAAAACATTGACGAATTACAATAGTGCTGTAAATATCCATACTCAAATAATTTTATCGATATAACCTTTATCGATATCGATATTTACATAATAAAAGTTAGATCCTATACTGAATTATCTGAAAAATAATTTTTTTAACGTGAGGATTGAGTAAAAATACCGATGAGGCTAAGAAATCCTATGTATTTGTATGTACAAATGTATTTCACACACAGCAATTTGTAATTATATCTCTACAATTATTAGGAACAAAAATATGTATAAAGAAAATAGAAAATAAAAACGCACTATTATACTAGTAATTTATTAAGTAAAAATATATGCCGACTCCGTAGCGCAGTGGCTAAGCG